TTATGACTTACTTCTAGCAGCAAATGTTTGTATCTAATGGTTCAAGGCATTCTTAGGGTCTTCCTAAATGAATAGTTAAAGTAGAAAACCAGATGCTGAAAGAGGTGCTTTTTGAAAAATTCAGGGCAAAGTTTTGACCAAAATTATTTCCTTCACTGGTCTCTGCCAGAGTTGGGAAACTTAAGTATTAGAGAGCTTTGTTTCTTGAATGAAAATGTTTTTCCTAGAGATAATACCATAAATTGTTATATATTACTAGATTTATCAGTTCTGAGATTTCTTTTTAAAGCCAGCTGGAAATAGGGCCTATGAGAATGAGATTCAAGTTAAGTGTCCAGGTTTAGAACAGCAGTCACTTAACTTCTCAAATTCGCTTTAGAATCTGACTTAAGCATTCCAAGCATAATAGTTTTTTGTTTTGTTTTTTAATGTATTTATTTTTAATTGAAGGATAATGGCTTTACCATATTGTGTTTCTGCCATACATCAGTGTGAATCAGCCCGTAGGTATACGTTTGTCCCCTCCCCCTAGAACCTCCCTTCCACCTCCCGCCCCATCACAGAGCCTGGGTCTGAGTTCCCTGCGCCATCAGCAGATTCCCACTGGCTATTTTATATATGGTAGTGTATACGTTTCCATGCTATCTCCATTCATTCCACCCCCTCCTTCCCCACTCCCTGTGACCACAAGCCTGTTCTCTATGTCTGCATCTCCACTGTTGCCCTGCAAATGGGTTCATCAGTACCATCTTTCTGGATTCCATATATATGCTTTAATATACAATATTTGTTCTTCTCTTTCTGACTTCACTCTGTAGAATAGCCGAGCATAATATTTTTCGTCTTACTGAAATCCCCTTTGCACAGAAAGATATAAGACAGAAATGTACATATCTGCCCAACTGGGTCAGCACAGCATCTCTCCTGTAGTTGCCCAAAGAGGTACCATGAAGGATCATTCCATCCCCTGAGATGCGAACCTCTACCAAGCACTAGGTAAAGAAGGACTTCCATGCATGGAGAGAAAATATCCTCAACTTAAATTTCCACAGAATGCTTCCTTGTCCTGGCATTTGGTTTTCTGGTGAATGAAGCCTTACTGCATGTGATTTTATGGATTTCCAGCCTGCCCGTACTATCGGTATTGTAATCTCCATTTTGGTTGATTGCCAGAGACAACAGTTCAGTTTAGTTAGTTTAAAGTTTAATTTTCCTTCTGGCTTTGACTTTTCTGGCTGGAAAGTTATTGGGAGCATAAAGCTCTGAGGCACTTGAAGTTTCTCAGTCTCTACAGTCAAGTTATTTTGTGTAGTATGGAATCAGAGAGGCTGTTCTTTCTCAAAGAAGTCCTGTATGAACTCTTAGAAATCCACTTAAGTCCTTGCTTACACTTGTAAGAAAATTAGATCCTCCCACTTAAATAAGTGGCCTGTGTATTGAAACTATTTAGAATGTAATTGTATGCTTTCCTCTTATGAATCTAAGCTTATGTTAGAATAGCAATGATATATAAGGCACTTAAAGTTGACTGTTAATACCACTTCCTGAATATTATTTTCAAACAAATACATGTTCATTTGCTAACTGATATTCTGCTTCATCAACAAAGGATGCAACATGGATAGCAAAAGTCATTAGCATATTACAAATGCTTGCAAAGGACTTTGGAATGCCTAAACTAAAAACGTACACTACCAAGGACTTGGAAAGAATTTCAAGCCCCAAGGCCAAAGAATCTACTGCATATTAATCTTCTTTATCAAAAAGTTGATTTGGAGCACTAAAGACAAAAATAAGCCTATTGTGCAATAGCAAAAAAAAAAAATCTTAGGGGACCACATGGTATGGTGGAAAGATGCTATACTAGGGAGCAGGGGATTCTGTGGTCCTAATTTTGTCACCCATTAGCTTTGAAATCTTTACTCAGGCATTTCAGCCCTATAAACATGCATCTCTCTATCTGGAAAAGGAGGGGTTGAAGTGTGTTTTTCCAGGGGTTTTTCCCTAACAAACAGAATCTCAGAGAGATTTTATGACCTAACCAAGGTGGCAGAGGCCAGAAAAAGAGCTTGAAAAATCCCTTATAAACTTATAACTGGAGTTCTGTCTCCCAAGACTTTTAATTCTCTTAAGTGGAAGCTTGCATGTATAGTCACCCAGCTGTCACCCTGGAAGAGGGGAGATTAAATACTCATACATGAAGCCCAAAGTGTGACTGTTAAAAACCCCTATGCACAATTAGTGAACAAGGGTTATTCTCTGTTTTTACTGCCTCGTCTATGAACTACCCAGTTCTGAAAGCTCTGCTTTAAGTATCTCCCTAATGTTAACATTATGGAAGTATGGGGGAGGGGGTGGGAGATTTTAGACAACCGCAGATTGCCCGCATTTAAGATGAGGAATCCACAGAGTATGAAGGGAATTTATGATTTCACATTATTTCCCTCAGTTTTTCCTAACACATATCTTGAATTTTTTTTTCTTTTTTCCTACTCTCACTATTAGGATATAAATACATTCCTTTTTGTACATGTTCTGCAGTGTCATCATGCCTTTGGAGCATGTGCTGAGAGACTGAGGAGATAGAGGAGTTCTCCTGAGGAGATAGTTGGGGCTGATGCTTTTGAGCTAGGAAGAAATGGTGGGCACGGGGACCAGAGAGCTTAGCAGCCCTCAACAAATCCTGGCTCTAGAAACCACACTGTAAAATTTATGCACAGCCCATGCAGTTTCTAGGAAGTAACGCCAAGGACTATAAAATTGACCCTACAGGTATATTTACATAAGGTGCTAACCTATTACCCACCACAATGTACAGTATGTGCAAATAAAAAAAATAAAACTTAAAATTTCAAATATACACTGAGCTTTTAGGGGAAAAGCTGAGAGTACATGTGCCTGGAGTATGAAGTTCTACTATTTCAAAATGAATTTTCTGCTATATAATCACACATTAAAAGGGAACTATACTTAAGTTTAAAATCCAGTGTAATAAACCATTATGACATAATAATTTACAAGGACTTCAGAGCTATATGACTTTGAGGACAAAAAAATTAGTTCAAAGATACACTACAATAATTGAATATACAGAAGTGACAGAAAAACTTTAATGCTATCTTTTCAAACATTTTCTAAATGATGATTAAATTTTGTCACTCTATCACTTTTTCTGCTTCTTGTCCTCAACAAATCAATTTTTTAAATGTAGTAGGGCTTGTAGCTCTTATTTTTGTCTCTCAGGCAAGATGCTACTAGGGGTCACTTCCCATGTACAGAGAAAACAATCTTCATGGATAATAATGATAAAACCTTATGGAATGCAAAAACAACCAAAATATGTATTCTCAGATGACTACGTTGAGGCCAAGTCAATATTAGTCCCACTTCACCCACGCACCACATAGTCTAAAAATGTTGTCAGCTTGATAACAATTTCCTGATTTAATCTTTTTTCCAACAGAAAATATAGGTCATCAAAATAAACTCTTGACAGTAAAAGAACAGTAGCTACACTACTGTCTTTTATTTTGCTAGCCAGTTATAGTCAAATAGTTTCTTTACCCCACAAAACAAAATAATCTCAAACAAGCCAATGTAGTAAAAGCAACATGAAAACTTCAAGCACACTTCTCAACTAAGTTCTTAAGCTCAGCTCAGCCTAACACCTACTTAAACAATATCTACAGAAGCCCAAAGGGTAGCAGAAATTACTATTTACTAATATGTGATACTCCTCAAGGTAGACATTTCAAGTGAAAAAGAAAGCTCATTTTTTGATTTGTTGATGGTCTTAGCAAAAGAATGCAATTTAGGAACTGAGTTCTGGGGCTACTGCAAAAGTTAGATAAGGCATTGGAGTCATTTTTTATTAAAAACTATATTTCATGATTAGTTATTTACAGTTTTTCTGGTACCAAACTTTATTTTTCTAGCTCAAAAAATTATTCCAATTCTAATCCCCACTAGATATTCATATTTTAATGCAACTATTTCCACAATTCTAGAAAATAAAATCTCATTCAAAAGTAGGCTGCTAAAGTTATTTTTGATGGGGAAAAATACTTTTATGAATGCTTAGTAAAGTTTGAGTTTATTGCTCATCTATGTTACAATTGATAACTGAAGGCCTCTACAGTGTCTGAGATGGAAGAAAGGAAAGAAGAAGAGGGTGGTTCATCTGGAACAGAGTGTTCATAAAACACACAAAACATATCCAATGTCTCTTTGCATCACTTGCCTGACTTGGATTTAAATGGTTTTCTCCATTACTTGTATCTTTTATATTAAAACCAAAGAATGTAAACAAAGAGCCTAAGCAAAATGTTTTAACCTATTACCCTTGACCACAAATTACAAAGCTTTCCCATTCCCCTCCCTAAAAGTAATCTTGCTTTTAAGTGCTGAAGCTGATGAATATTAAAAAAATAAATAAATAAGAAGCCACAGAGTAAGGCTCCTTCCTCTTTTGCCCTAGCTGTCCTGGTTAAGCTCACACTGTTCGGCAGATGAATCTAGAGCATGTACCCTTCCAGAATCAGCTGAATTTCAGTCCCTAAATTATACGCAGAAGTTATCATTTCTTTCCAAAGAGTAGCACAATAAATCTAGTAAAGAGACAGAAGTAGAGGAAATAAATTAAATGACCAGATTAATTAAAGAGCCAAACCCTGAAGACCACAATAAAACACAGGGTTTTTAAGAATTTTTTTTTAAAAATCAATAAAAACTGTGGATGTTATTATTAAAAACGTACCTAGATCCCTGATAGGTATCTCCACCTCAGAGTACATAAATCACATTTTTTTAAGTCTCACCAAATCAACCCACCCTAACTCCCAGAGTCTGAGGACCCCATTTTGGTACACCCTGGCCACGTGCTCACATATGTGCTTTATGTAGGCTGACTAAGCCTTGACACTCTGTTGGCATCCAGAAAGGAACATCCAGGGATACCGAGTGCTAAATTCCCCAGAACCCTATTCGCCCTTCTAAAGGAACGCTATCATCTCCCTAGTTCCTGAACCCTTCTTATCTAACAACATTCAGTCACTCTTGGCATGGAGGAGATCCAGCATCCAGTGATCCAAGGTTACTTCTTGGCTGGGAAAGGAAAGGGTTCTGTCCAATAGACTGAACCATAGCACCTCTGTGCTTTGATGGGATTAAAAATAGATGAGGGATTTGGGGATCAATCCTTGCCCCCTAAGTCACAGCATGGAAGAAGACAGACTTTACGAGAACTTCTAATAACATTTGACGAATATCATACTAGACCCATGTTCCACCAGAAAAGTCCCAGAAGAGACATTCCATGGGCTCACTATCCGGACAGCCTCCCCTATGTCAGTGACACATTTCATCCTTTTAATCAAGAAAACCCTAGTACACTCCACCTCTTCAAAGGAAACAAAATATTTGGTTTAAAGGAAGTTTACTCACATATTCTTAAAACAGGTGCCCTTGGAGAGCTTCAAAGAACTGAGCCCTAAGAGCTAGGGTGGCTATGACCACAGCTCGCTGAAGCCCCGAGCCAGGTAACGTCTCACTCGGAATCCCCACCCGTCCACCTGGCTGCTCCTCCTTCCCGAAACTGCTCTGCTCTTCTCTTCCGATGGCTTTCTGTTCCAGGGCGCTCCCGCAACTCTCGGAGCATCCTCCGCGCCACCCATCCCAGAGGGACGTCGTCGCGGGAGCCCCAGACCGATACTCCCCGTGCCCCTCGCCCCCGCCCCCGGCAGGCTGCCCGGTCGGTGACTCACCTGCTGGCCAGGTTGGGGCGCCGGGTGGTAACAGGCTGTGGGGCAGGTTGCAGCTGCCACGGGGTTGGGCAGATACTGGGGCGCTCCATACGGCTGGGGGTGATACATCACCTCCGCACAACTCATGGCAGCCGGGGCAGCGGCGGCCCCGGGGCTGCGGCCGCGGCTCTACGCGCTGGAGCGACGGGCGCCGCCGCCGCCTCTGTCGCAGCTCCAGCTGCTACTGCGGCCGAGGCGGGTCCTTGGCGGCCGCGGGCTCCGCGCGCCGCGCCGGCTCGGGAGGCGTTGGCAGTTAGCGGGGGCCCATGCGCGGGCACCCTCATCTTCAGCCCCTCCGGGTGTCCCCTGGCCTGCGCTTATATAGCGACTCGGGGACGCGATGGCCCGCCGCGCGGCGGGGACATGACAGCGCGGGGTTCGGGCGCCCACGGCCGCGCCAGCCGCTGCGGAGCGCCGGCCCGGGGTGGGCAGACGTGGGGAGCCGGGCTCTGCTTTGCATATACACAATGCACGCCCGGGGCTCGTCCTATCACCGGCGCTCCCGGCTGGGCGAGGACCGGGAGGCGGGGGCGCACGGAGGGGGCTGGCCCGGGAGGACAGCGAGCGCTCTCCTCTCCGGGGCTGACGCGGAGCTCGGCGAAGTTCCTCCAACTCGGCCGGCGGCGGGCCGGTCGCCCAGCAGGGGGACCCCGGGGAGGACCGGCCGCGGATTGGAGCGAAGTTGGAAGCCCTCTCCGCCTCCCGGCAGTGGGGTGGCGGTGGGAGGGAATGGTATGCGAGAGGCTCCACGCCCTTGGAAAGCTCCGCGGGTTCCCAGCCCATCTCCTGTCACCTGGCCGCCGGGGCGAGGGCTTCCCAGCCCCGAGATTTTACAGGAACACCAACGTAGAGGCCGAGGCTAAATGAAGGCCAAGTGTACTAAGAGGTAAAACAAAGCAGGCGCAAAATGAAGTGGGATTAGCTCCTACATTAAATATAACCATAAGTGCTAACTTCGTTGCAAGAGCTCACATGCCAAGAAGGCAGCCCAGGTCCCTACAATCTCCGCTTTAAGTTTACACCTTCATGATATGACCTCCTGTGGGATGTCAACCTCTTCTGGCCTTTTCAGTCTGGTTTCCATAAAATAAGAAACAGTGACATGCGATTAAACCCATCCAGCTGTTTAAAGATTTAATTGCAAGTGATTTACAATCTTCTCCAATATAATTGTATTTCAATATAATCAAGTCTAGTAGAAAAGAATTATACTTATTTTGTAAATAAGGAAAGTCTCTGACCAAGTATATCCCTCCCTCTATATGTAACACAGAACAATCTCTTTGTGTTTGCAGGAACTAGACTTTGAGAAGTTAATCTGGATGTCAAATGTACTGATGTTCCGGACAGACGTGGCCTCCTAAAATTCACATGCTGAAGCCTAATGCCCAATGAGACTGTACTTGGAGACACAGTCTATCAGGAGATTATTAAGGTTAATAGAGGTCATGAAGACAGGGTCCTAAGCTAGGATCACTGTGTTTATAAGAAGAGGAAGAGATGCCAGGAGTCTGTCTGCTTTGGCAGGCTTGTAACACCTAGTGAGAAGCAAGTCAGGAAGAGAAGCCTCACCAGAAACTAACTCTGTGGGTACTTTGAATTTTTAGCCTCCATAACTGTGACAAAATAATTTCTATGTTTAAGCCACACTGTCTGTGACATTTTGTTATGGAGGCCCTAGCAGACTAATACAGATGTATAGTACTAATATACTGTTTAGATTACTAATTTTTATAAAATTATAAATATAAATGTGTATATGGTTATGTATAACTAGCCAGACACACGAATATATCAACACATATACCCTCACACATGCCCTCCCTCATACATGCAAATACACAAACTATGGTAACTGGATAAGAATTGGTAGCTACTCATAGTAGCTCCTATTCACTTGCTCATTCTCTGATTAATTGAATATTAAAAATATATTTATTAAGGCTATCACCACTTAGACTTTGTGCTCTCTGTAACAGAGGATATGTTCCTATCAGTTGTTGTTGTTCTTCAGTCGCCTACTCATGTCTGACTCTTTGCAACCCCATGGATTGCAGCATGCCAGATCTCCCTGTTCCTCACCATCTCCGGGAGTTTGCTCAAGTTCATGTCTGTCACATCGGTGATACCAACCAACCATCTCATTCTCTGTCCCCTTCTTCTTCTTCTGCCTTCAATCTTTTCCAACATCAGGGTCTTTCTCAATGAATCAGCTGTTCACATCAGGTGACCAAAAGATTGGAGCTTGAGCATCAGTCCATCCAATGAGTATTCAGGGCTGATTTCCTTTAAGATTGTCTGGTTTGATCTGCTTGCTGTCCAAGGGACTCTCAAGAGTCTTCTCCAGCACCACAGTTCAAAAGCACCAGTTCTCTGGTGCTCTGCCTTCTTTATGGTCTACCTTTCACAATCATACGTGACTACTGGAAAGACCATAGTCTTGACAATATGGACCTTGATCAGCAAAGTGATGCCTTTCCTTTTTAACATACTGTCTAGGTTTCTCATAGCTTTCCTGCCGTCAAGCAATCATATTCTTGTATCGTGGCTGCTGTCAACATCTGCGGTGATTTCAGAGTCCAAGAAGAGGAAATCTGCACTGCTTCCACCTTTCTTCTTTCTATTTGCCATGAAATATAAGGTCCCTATAGTCAACACTATGGTCTTTCCAGTAGTCATGTATGGGTGTGAGAGTTGGATGGCTGAACGCCAAAGAATTGATCCTTTTGAACTGTGTTGTTGGAGAAGACTCTTGAGAGTTCCTTGGCCGGCAAAGAGATCAAACCAGTCAATCCTAAAGGAAATCTATGCTGAATATTCACTGGAAGGACTGATGCTGAAGCTGAAGCTCCAATACTTCAGCCACCTGATGCGAAGAGCCAACTCACTGGAAAAGACCCTGATGCTGGGAAAGATTGAAGGCAGGAGGAGAAGGGGACAACAGAGGACAAGATGGTTGGATGGCATCACTGACTCCATGACATGAATTTGTATAATCTCTGGGAGACAGGGAGGGATGGAAGTCTGAGGGGCTGCAGTCCATGGGGGTCGCAAAGAGTTGGACATGACAGTGACTGAAAAACAGCAACAAGTTGCCACAAAGCGATGGGGCTGGATGCCATGATCTTAGTTTTTTTTAATATTTAGTTTCACTCTCCTTCACCCTCATCAACAGGTTCTTCGGTTACTCTTTGCTTTCTACCATTAGAGTGGTGTCATCCGCATATCTGAGGCTGTTGGCAATATTTCTCTTGGCAATCTTGATTCTAGCTTGTAACTCATCCAGCCGGGCCTTTCTCATGATGTGGTCTGTCTATAAGTTAAATAAATAGGGTGACATATTTAAGTAAGTAAGTAAGACATATATAAATTTATTTAAAATACTTATTACTGCTTTTTCTCAAGTTGAAAACCACTGGTCATGCCCATCTTCTCTGTTCCAGATTTCATCTTTTCAGCTTCTGTCTGGGTGGCTCCACACAGATGTTCTATAGTACCTCAGTCATAATAGCACTAATATTGTCCCCATAGCCCTGACATGATTTTCCTCTTTTGATATCCATTTCAGGTATTGAAACTCCCATCCTAGTTCAGTTCAGTTCAGTTCAGTCACTCAGTCGTGTCCAACTCTTTGCGACCCCATGAATAGCAGCATGCCAGGCCTCCCTGTCCATCACCAGTTACTGAGCTGGAAATCTGGGACTCATCTAACATCACAGTCTCCACATATGGTCTTGGAGCTCATTTCATCCCCACTTATACCTTTCTACTGACTCTCTCCCCTAATCTCTTTATCTATGCCGCTATAATCCTTAGTTCACTAGGAGATCTCTCACCCAGAATCCTGTAAGAGGCACCTAACTGATTTCCAGGCCCCAAGTTCAAACCTCTTCTGATCCATTTGTCCTATTCTCTTCCATTTAAGTCACTGCAAATCCAACAAAGTAATGATGCTTACCCTTCCTTTTAGAAAAATTTCCCCAGGAGCTCTTGACAGTCTGCAGTCTCAACTCTTTAACATTCAAATTTTAGCTCTTACCTATGTCACCATCTCCTGCAACTGTCCATTCAGTCATCTGAATTGAGACCTCCCTTTCTAGGAAGAAGTGTAGTCACTTAACACTTCTAACTTTATCTTCAGATAATATATCTATAACTGATTATTTTTGTACAATTATGTGTGCGATATGTCTTCTCCACTAGACTACTGCTGAATCATGTATATCCCGTATATCTAACATTTAGAAGGTTTTCAGGTTCTATTTGTTGACTTAGAAAATAAAGGCAGAACTAGCTCAAACTTGTTCATGCTCCAATTTCTGCATCTTCCTCGTGCCCCATAGAGCCTCTGTTTAGTATGTTGCAAATATTTAATGTATGACAAAGATGTAGTTCTCGGACACTAATGTCATAGACTCAAAAGTCTGGAGGTATTTGGCAAAATTTTCTATAATGAAAAATATATGTTTTGGTGTCTTTCTTCCTCCCTATCCTGCACTGATAGGAGAAAATGAAGATAAATTATGCCCAGACAGAGAAGTAGGATAATTCCTATTAAGGAAAGCTAAGTTGGAGTTCTCATAGGAAAGGAGATATGTCTGACTTTCCCTAGGTATAAATTTAGGGTTTTAGAATAGAAAAGAATAAGAAAGATCACCTAGTCTACAACATATTCTTTCAAAGATAAGCAAACAAGTGATCTAAAGCAAGAGAATTCCAGAAAAGCATCTACTTCTGCTTCATTGACTATGCTAAAGCCTTTGTGTGGATTACAACAAACTGTGGAAAATTCTTCAAGAGATGGAAATACCAGATCACCTTACCTGCCTCTTGAGAAACCTGTATGCAGGGCAAGAAGCAACAGTTAGAACCAGACATGGAACAACGGACTGGTTCAAAATTGGGAAAGGAGTACATCAAGGCTGTATATTGTCACCCTGTTTATTTAACTTATATGCAGAGTACATCATGCGAAATGCTGGACTAGACAAAGCACAAACTGGAATCAAGATTGCGTGGAGGAATATCAATAATCTCAGATATTCAGAGGACACCACCCTTATGGCAGAAAGCAAAGAAGAACTAAAGAGCCTCTTGATAAAAGTGAAAGAGGAGAGTGAAAAAGCTGGTTTAAAACCCAACATTCAAAAAAAGATCCTGTCATCCAGTCACTTCACTTCATGGCAAATAGATGGGGAAACAATGGAAACAGTGAGAGACTTTATTTTCTTGGGCTCCCAAATCACTGCAGATGGTGACTACAGCCATGAAATTAAAAGACATTTGCTTCTTGGAAGAAAAGTTATGACCGACCTAGACAGCATATTAAAAAGCAGAGACATTACTTTGCCAACAAAGGTCCATCTGGCCAAAGCTATGGTTTTTCCAGTGGTCATGTATGGATGTGAGAGTTGGACCACAAAGAAGACTGAATGCCGAAGAATTGATGTTTCTGAACTGTGGTGTTGGAAAAGACTATTGAGAGTCCCTTGGACTGCAAAGAGATCAAACCAGTCAATCCTAAAGGAAATCCATCCTGAATATTCATCAGAAGGACTGATGCTCATCTGAAATTCCAATTCTTTTGGCCACCTGATGGGAATAGCCTCCTCATTAGAAAAGACCCTGATGCTGGGAAAGATTGAAGGCAGATAGAAGTGGGGGACAGAGGATGGGATGGCTGGATGGCATCACCGACTCAATGGACATGAGCTTGAGCAAGCTCTGGGAGATGGTGAAGGACAGGGAAGCCTGATGTGCTACAGTCCATGGGGTCACAAAGAGTCAGACATGACTGAACGACCAAACAACAACAAAGGAAATGGAGGCAGAACTAAAATCAAAGCCTCCTGGTCTCTGGAGTCTTAGTTCAGTTTTCTACCACCCACAATAATATATATAAACAAACACATGCATGCACACACACACACACACATGCATATATATTTACATGCACATACATATTTACATGCACACATATATATGTGGGTGTGCATACATGTACCTGTTCATGCATATTCATTTATGCATATAAGCAGAGGTTTTAGATGAAATCATCTTTTGGTGAACTTCGAGTTGTGAAAAAGGAGTGGGTTGGGGGGAATGTAGGCTGATTGCATTTGACAGTAGTGAGTCATCCAGACCAGAGATTTCAATCTGACCAATGATGTACTCATTTTCATATCTGTCATGCAGAGGTGTCACAATTATTTGGAATAACATAGTAATGGGATGGAATTTGATGATTTGCATTTCTGAGTTCAAGTTCCTCAAAAATTACTCATTTATCTTTATTTTCTTCTTTCAGTCTGCTCCACTCCTCTTCTGGTTGAGTGATGTGAAACTCAAACCTACCTGGTGCTTATACTCCTACTGTTCTATATCCCAGCCACTGTGGTTCTAATGTAATACTTGTATGTGTGTATGCTCAGCTGTATGTGACTCTTTGCAACCCCATGGACATAGCCCACCAGGCTCCTCTGGCTATGGAACTTTCCAAGCAAGAATGTTGGAGCAGATTGCCATTTCCTACCCCAGAGGATCCTCCCAACCCAGGGAACGAACCCACATCTCTTTTATCTCCTGCATTGGCAGGCATGTTCTTTACCACTGTACCACCGGGGAAACCACCTATAGAATACTTAGATGACTTTCAATGTTTCCAACTCTCTGAGTCAGGGATTTACAGTCACTATAGTTTTGAAACCACCCACCAAGTTTCCCAGAATATTTCCAAATTTTCCAGCTGGAATTTAATGAGGTGAACTCCGCAAATCAGTTTCATTTGGAGGGGTAACACGAAGTGGATTTCCCCAATATCTCTTGGGGTAAGATAGGGCAAAGTGGGAGCTGCCTTTTCTTTTAGAAGGATGACAACTAGGCTTGTCTTTAGCTTAGAGTCTTAGTGTGGAAAAACAAATGAGATCTGCAGTGCAAGTGTTGGATGACTCAGCATGTGTATCCAAACATTCTTCCTAGGGTATAAAGAGTTGATTCTCAGCCAGCCCTCTGGCCTCAGCTGAGCCCACTGATAATGCAGCCTGC